CGTGGCTCTCCAATACGGTGGTGGTGAAGAAGAAAAATGGAACTTGGTGAGTGTGCGCCAATTTCACGGATCTGAACAAAGCTTGCCCCAAAGACTGTTTTCCTCTACCCATAATCGACTAACTTATCGATGCAACAACGCGCCATCAACGCATGAGCTTCCTCGATGCTTACAGAGGCTATCATCAGATTGCCATGCATCCAGCTGACCAGGACAAAACTGTATTTCTCACCCCAAGAGGAACCTACTGCTACAAAGTTATGCCTTTTGGGCTGAAAAATGCGGGGGCAACCTACTAAAGGCTGGTCATCGTCATGTTCAAAGAACAACTCGGCCACACTATGGAAGTATACATCGACGATATGGTGGTCAAGTCCAAAGAAGAACAGAATCATATAGCCGATCTAGAAAAGACATTCAGCATCTTACGCAAATACATAATGAAACTGAATGCTTCAAAGTGTGCGTTCAGAATCGGCTCTAGCAAATTCCTGGGTTACATCGTGAACCACCGAGGAATCGAAGCCAACCCAAGGCAAGTCACCGCAATTCTGGAACTCAGCTCCCCCCGTTCAGTAAAAGAAGTCCAAAAGTTGATGGGGATGGCCGCTGCACTCAACAAGTTCATCAGCCGGTCTACAGATCACTGCCGACAATTCTTCCAGACACTACGGTAGGGCAAGGCTTTGAATAGTCCGCCGAATGTGAAGCAGCTTTCAACGGACTCAAGACCTACCTTTGCTTAGTACCCCTGTTGATAAAACCCACCGCTGGTGACCCTCTCATTCTGTATCTGGCAGTTTTCGGTAGAGCCGTCAGCGCTGTACTATTAAAAAATGAGGAGGGGGAGCATTGACCAGTGTGTTATGTAAGCAAAGCAATGGTCGACGCCAAAACACGTTATCTTTCACTGGAAAAACTCATCTTAGCCCTAGTCATGGCGGCGAGAAAACTGATGCATTACTTCCAGGGACATAGCATTGGAGTCCTAACAGATTATCCCCTCCGATCAGTATTACACAGTGCAGAAGCTTCAGGACGTGTTTCAAAATAGGCTCTCGAGCTCGGCTAGTACGACATTCAGTTTCTACCAAAAATCGCAATCAAGGGGCAGCTGCTGGCCGACTTTGTTGCCGAATTCACCGGAGGGCTTGCCGACCTCAAACCTGACGAGTTTCGACCAAAGGCTGAAGTTTGCCCAAAGCTGAACTGGAGAATTTATGTCAGGGATATTTGGCAATTATACTGTGATGGATCATCTAACCAATGGGGCAGCGGCACCGGAGTTGTAATCATGTCTCCAGACGGTGCAGTAATTGAGCAGGCCGTTAAGCTTGGCTTCGAAGCATCAAATAACGAAGCCGAATACGAAGCCCTTCTAGCCGGTCTGCGGAATGCGCACCTTCTCGGCGCTCAGCGTTTGCTCGTGTTTTGTGATTCAAAATTGGTAATCAATCAGCTAAAGGGGGAATACGCGGCGAGAAACGAGCGTATAGCGACCTACATGACAACGGCAAATTCCCTAACGGCAAAATTGACCATCACGAACTGAACCAAATAACACGCGACCAGAACACCCACGCAGATGCCTTGGCGTGCCTGGCCTCCGCCATCAATTCCGAGATCAAACGGACCATTGAAATAGGTTTCATCCCGGAGTCGAGTATTGGCCCTTCGGAGGAAGCTCGCGTCAACATTATAGAATCCGCACCGAGATGGATGGACCCCATTGCTGCGTTCCTCTCTTCTGAACAACTCCCAGAGGACAAAAAAGAAGCACACAAGCTGCGAAATAAAGCCCTGCGATACTATCTGGATCCGCAAGGAGGGCTTTATAAAAAGTCCCTCTCTGGTCCATATTTGGAATGCGTGCACCCCGACAAAGTGGAGGAGCTTCTGACAGAGATACATGAGGGCAGTTGTGGTGCCCATTCTGGCGGACGCTCCCTGGCCCATCGAGCTATAACACAGGGGTATTATTGGCCGACAATGAGAGCTGATGCGGAGAGTTATGTAAAAAAATGCGAACAGTGCCAAAAGTTCTCCCCATTAACCCATCTTCCTGCCGAAGGGTTGAACGCTATCACCAGTCCCTGGCCGTTTGCTCAGTGGGGACTTGATATCGTAGGACCATTCCCGAGGGCCCCAGGGAACAAGCGATTCTTAATCGTCGCGACAGATTACTTCACAAAATGGGTCGAAGCGGAGGGTTTAACACATATACGAGATGCCAACATTAAACACTTTGTATGGAGAAACATCATAACACGACCAGGACAAAACTGCAT